TAACTAAGTATCTTGACAGAAATAGTTTGTTGGTCTGTAACTACCATAAGCTCTTAGGAAACTCTGACCCCAAACAAACCTTTTTTGGTTTTGGCTGCACATGTGAGGCTTTTTGAAGACTTTGCTCTGTCTGGGCTGTTATGGGCCAGTACCCTTGTCAAGAGCTCTCCTCTGTCTCCCCAGGCTCCAAAAACTGGAGGCAGCAAGGGAGATTTTGTTTGACCTTCAGCAGACACTTGTCAGGAACACTGCGTGGCCTCTGAAGACTGAGAACTCATCCTGCTCTGTTTATGGAGATGCTGTTATGTTTTCCTTTTTTTTTTTTTTTTTTTTTTAAAGACAAGGTCTTCCTATGTTGCCAATCTATCCTTCTGCCTCAACCTCCTGAGTGCTGGGATTATAAATGTGTACTACCATACCAGTAGTATTAAGGTTTTTGGGGGGGAGGGGACCTCTTTTTTCAGGTGGAGTTTGAACTCAGGTCCTTGTACTTATGAAGCAGGTGGTCTGCACTTGAGCTACATCTCTAGCCCAAATGAGTTATTTCCGTACGTGTTAATTTTTTTTTTGGCAGTACTGAGGTTTACTTGCTAGGTAAGGCTATACCACGGGAGCCACACCTCCAGCATATTATGTTTTTAATCACCTTTTCTTCTTAGACCAGAGGTTGTAGCATTGGCATTTCGTTTATCATATAATAGGTTTCTGATGTTGCTTAGACTTGAGATTTTGTGGACCACTTTTTGGATTTAACACATTTGTATCCTCTACCTTAAAAGAGATTGTGTGGCGTGTATTCTGCTGCTTTCTGAAGGAGCTGGCTGCCCTGTGCTGGCAGCCTTGTCAAGCCAGAGGAGGTGCTGTGCTTGTGGCTTAGGTTGGACAGCAGGAGCATTGAGAAACTTCCTGTGCTGGTCTTGTAGCTCATCCTTCAAGGTTGATAAGGGATAGGGACTCACAGGGTCACTTCGAGTTGGAGAGGTTAAGCTGAAATTTAATAAATATGTATCCTAATGATTTTACGAATATAGATTTTTGTAGGTAGAAGTAAGGTTACGTGTCAAGGAGAATAGGTGTCAAGGCTTTGAAATCAAAGCTTTTGGCAAGGAATGCAGAGAGTCTGAGTTACTCACCCTGTGCTACACATTGGGTCCTGCCGAGGGCATGCTTCTGGAGGTTTGTACTGCCCTCTAGTATGGTCCTCAGGTCACACATTCTGTGAGTCAGTTTCCAATGTTCTCACTGGGGATGGATAGCTCCAGAACACAGAGTGCTGGTGGACTCAGTGAGCAGACAGCTTGCAAGCTAGTGTGCCATCTTATTCCCTGTATGCCAGCCTGGGCACATGGGGGATCATGTGCCCCATGACTGTGCTGCAGGCATCCCAGGCCCTGTGGGACTTTGAGCAGCCACCCTGATCTCCTAGGTGTGACATCCAGAGGTGTCTTCAGGGAAGCAAAAATCCATGCCATAGAATAAGATAGACAAAACCTTTGAGCTCCAGTATAGAAAGCTGCATGATGCCCCCACACAGTTTGTAAGAAAGGCGTCAAAGAAGAGCACAAGATGGGCAGCTCCTAGCACACACCACACCCTCACTTTTGCACAGTCCTGCTTCTTGTACTTTCATTTCTTCCCTCACTTGTCTTCTCCTCAGTTGTCAAGACCCATAGGTTACCTTGTCTACAGAGCATCCTTCTGCTTCAGATAAAATGAACCACCTGCATTTGTCTCCTTCCCTGGGTGCTGTTTTCCAACACTCACATTCAATTGAGCCTCCCTTCTCATTAAACCTTACAGACATTGTAGTGCATATCACTTGCTTAGTTTATACCCCCTCTGTCCAGTTTCTGAAACTGAGCCTATTACCTGAGGGAGCATGGTATGTAGAGAGGAAGTGTGCCCACAATTCGATGTCTGGCCTGTGCTCCAGTGCAGGCAAAGCTGGGCACGGAGCCTACTGGAGCACATGGCCTTGTTATCAGTGCTCCCTTTGGAGCAGACCTCCCATGCAGCTCTATAGCTCTGTCCTTGGTGGCAGCTTGGTGCCACCATACAAGACACCATAGTTTCCCCAGAGGTGGAGAACGGTGGATGGTATTCATAGGCAGTCTCTGTTAAGGATTAGAGGGACCTTCCGTGTGTGTGACTTTATACTAACCACACACATATCACGTGAGGGCACTCATTGTGCTTCCTTGTGTGGCAGGTGTGGCTTGTGTGGGAACGTGGGAGGTGCTGATGAGCACTCAAGTGTAGTCCAGCAGATGTGCTTGCAGAAATTGGAGAGCCGGTTCTGAAGTTCTTATAGAAATGTGGAAAACCTTGAGTAGCAATTTTGAAAAGGAACAGAGTTCTGGTTTCTAGACTTATCATAAAGTTACAGTAATCAAGATAATGTGATATTGGTGCAAAAATAGACACATGCATCGTAATTGTGGATCAGAAGGGTCCAGAAATACACAAATACATACCAACAGGTTATCCACACTGTGCCAAGAAGTCCAGTGAAGAGTAAGAAATGAGCCAACAATTGTACATCCATGTGTTGGGCAGGACAGTGCACCACTCACTGGTCAGAGGGAGTTGTGAAAGCTAGAGGTCCCTCTAAAGGGGATGGAGGTGCAGGGGGCCTGCTGACGAGTTGTGATGGCACCACGGGGGCAGCTGTCTCTTTGGTGTATGGACCAATCCCCGGGGCCATCAGCAGGTGGGGTGTGAATGTCCACGAAAGCTGAGGCATCATTTGCCACATGTGATCACCAGAGGATAAGATAGTTTTGGTAAGAAAGTAGCCATGTGTGGCCCAGTGCGGGCTTGGTCCATTCCTTTTTTGGAGGGGGACAGTTGGGGAAGATACTTAGGTGGACATTAAGATGGGAGGAGGACATCTTAGGAAGAGAAGGTAAGTTGATGGGGCACGTTTCAGGAGGAACTGGTAGGGGCAGGAAGAGAAAAGGCTTTCCATTCTCTGAACCAGCAGCAGCCGTCAGTCTGTGCGCCTGGCTCTGCCTGGGAATCTCAGTCTGATGTAGGGAGGCACCTATGGAATGCCTGGTATGGACAAGGGCCCTCTGCTGCCCTTGGTCTGGGCACATTTCCTCGCCATCAGCCTCTGGCCATTCTAATTTATGAGACAATGGTAAGCTGATTCTTTGGAGCTCCAAGAGTGTCCCTGTTTTGTGGACTTTTGTTGTTTCCCTAGCAGCTGAGCCAATCGACATCCTACCCTCAGTGGGACTGTTCTCGGCAGCATTGCGCTCCCTGGCTTTTCCTTAGCCATCTGGTGAGTGTGTGAGGTGGCTCAGCTCCCTGTGGTTTGCACATCCTGCTGGCCATTGATGTCAGGCACTTAGGTGCACTCCTCTGCCATCCACACAGCTTCTGTGGTTAAGTGTCTGCTCATGTCTTACGTCCATTTCTTAATCGAATTGTTTGGTTTTTACTACTGAGTTGTGACAGTTCTCCTAAATGGATACGAGGTGTTTATTGGGACTGTGGTTTGCAGACATCCCTTCCCAGTCTGTTCCTTTCCTTCATTCTTGCAGGGTCTTTCCAGAGCAAATGTTTTTACTTACAGCTTTGCTTTGATAAATCAGGCTTTCAGTTTCAAGTCTGAGAACTCTGCCTAAACCAAGATCCCAAAGATGTTTTTTTCCTTTTTGTTTGTTTAAAGCAAATAGCTTCACATGCATGTCCATTTTTACTTAATTTTTTTATAAGGTATTACTTTGGTCAGGTTCTTGTTTTTCTTTTTTTCCCCTTGCCTGTGGATGTCTGACGACACCAGCACATTCATGGAAAAGGTTGTCCTTCCTCCACTGAACTTCTGTCAAAAACCACGGGACGTATTTGCAGTTGGAACTGGTCCCTCTCCCAGGCCATGTCCATGGGGAGGCTGGACGTGGGAGAGAGGCTTTGCCTTGTTCCTGTGATGCTACTCGGAGGTTTACCCTTGGTCCCTCTCTCTTACTCCATCTCTGTGGGCCACGCGAATCTTCCCGGGTAGGGATGTGTGCTCCCCTGCCCATGGCCAGCAGCATGCTCTGCCTGGCCTGCAGTGCACAGGTCAGGCTCTTGGGGAGCCTCTGCTCGGTGGGCTAGATGTGAGAGGCGGAGCACTGTTGTAGTGAGTGCATAGAGCAGGGCAGAGGCAGCGCTGACTGCTGGAAGGTGACACTCCTATTGAGACTGTGTTAGCCTTCCGCTGCTTTGGCAGGCTCCCATTGTGCCATGTGGGGGCTCTGGATATAGAATACAAACCAGCATCCCCTGGTTTTCAGCCTTGAAATTTGTCTGCAGTAACCCCTGTTTCCAAGGCTTCTGCAACAAGATGCGAGCCTTTGAACATAGGACAAAAAATAGTTTTTGTGTTTATATAAAAAGTAGGAAGACAAGTGTGGTGGTATACACCTATAGTCCCAGCACTTGGGAGACTGAGGCAAGAGGATTGCGATTTCAAGGCTTCAAGGCCATCCTGGGCTACATAGTGCAACCTTGTCTCAAAGGAAATTTGAAGTCTATAAATATTATAATAGTTCCATCAGAAAAAAAATTAGGTGAATATGAGCCCAGATTGGGAATCGTCCACGAGAGGGAATGACAGTTTATTGTTTTGGAATTATGCCCACTTGTTCTTACTGTGTTAATGAGCAAAGCTTTAATTTTTATAAACATCAGAAATGTAAGATGATCATATATACGTATTTAATGTATTTTGAGACCATTCTTATGTTACATCCCTAATTTTTTTCAGGTCTTTTTATGTAACAAAGGGCTGGGGTTTCTTTGTTTTACATAGGAGACCTACAGCGTATAGTCCCTTCATTTTGTAGTCAGACAAATGCAACCCTGATGGGAGAGGGAACCTGTCTGAGCTGTGCAGGAATCAGGTAGAACTGGTACAGAGATTTGGGCTCTTTTCTCACTCAGTGCCTTTTCACATCATGTGACTGTTCTTCCTTTGTAGTCTGTAATTGCTTCCCTCTCGTACTTTTCAGAGCACTGCTGGTGAGATTGGAGGGATGTAGCCACCCTGTTGTCATGAAGGGCCTGTGCGCTGAATGTGGCCAAGACCTGACCCAGTGAGTATCTCTGGGAGTGAGGCTCAGTGCCTCAGATTTGGATGTGGATGGGCTGTGGGCACAGAGGTAGCAGGCCTCGAGGGCAGGCCTGGTCCTTTAGCCAGTTCCCGAGGGGCGGTCCTTTTAGTTTTTAGTCTGCCCCTTCTGGAAGCCCTTGGTTTTGCTGCGTGCTCTGCTCAGGTGTGGTGGAGAATGTCATGGGCTGAGGTTTGTGCTCACTCTTGCTGTGTGGAGCACCTTCAAGGTGGCAGAGTTTCAACGCCCAGCATTCCTGGATACCCCCAGGGCAGCTGACCCATGATGCCAAGTGGTACTCTACGCTATCTGTGTAGCAGTGTGGACAGCTATTGCTGGATTTTTCTGTGTTTTCATGTTGAGGGCTCATTTATGTTTCCATGTGTCTGCAGTTTACATTCATGGAGCATTTAATTTGTAAGTATTACAGCAACCATACACGTAAGCATGGCTGTAACTGCAAGTGTCACCTAGAGCTCAGTTTTCTGACGTGTTTTTCACTGTTTTCAGACAGTGGAGGACATTCCCGTGGCTACCCACGGAAGAGAGTTCTGTGCTAAAATAGTAGTGAGCGTCAGTTCCAGCACAAACTGAAAGCCCATCCTATGTGCATTAACCAGACACTCTTCTCGCATCCAAAGGCTGCAGAGTAAGAATGGGAAGCAGCAGGTGCCACTGTCCACAGCGACCGTGTCCATGGTTCACAGTGTGCCAGAGTTGATGGTGAGCTCCGAGGTGAGTGGGGCAGCAGGTTTATGGGTTCTGTAGAGGGACCATGGGACATGCATTTCTGAAACAGTCCTCGTGTGTGGAGTGCTGTCTTCCTGAAAACTTAAAGGCAGCGCTGGCTTCTCATTTCCTTTGTTCTTCACAAACAAGTCTGCCCACATGGGTGCCTTGAGGCCTCATGGCTCCTGATTCACATGGCAGGGACCCTCGATGCAGCCACCTGGCTCGGCCGGGGTCCCCTTGAGCCAGACTATTCCTGGAAGGGTCATGATAGGCACCTGAATACAGGAGCTCCAGAGGTGATGGTACCAGCAAAGACATGTGCAGGGCAGGTTCATAATAGCCCACACTGAGAGTGGGGACTGGTGAGGGACGAGGACACTGGACTCTCTGGCTCTCCAGGAATTGCCCTTGGTCCCCATGGGATGCCATAGCAAATGCTGCCTCAAAGAGTAGTGAAAGTGGGAGACTGTGGGGCACTGCTGTCCAAGAACAGGGCCCTCTTCAGGGCTAGGAGGGGGTCATACAAGGAACAGAGCTCAGAGGCTTGCCTTTTTCAGTATTGTGAGTCACCCTGACAGCTGGTGTTTGCATAGATTGGCTCTGTGGGGAGTGGGCAGCCCAGAAAGAGCAGGAGGTGCTGTCCCCACCACTAGGGGACAGAGTTCGTGACAAGCAGTATTTTGTCTGAGTTATTAGATTGCTTCAGGGCTGTATGCTTTTGTAGGTAGGTAATACATTTTTCAGCGCTAGGATTTTATTAGATTTGTGCTTTTTAATATCCATATCAAATTTATTTTTTTGTGGAAAGAATGCCATGATTCTGGTTTTCCTGAATTATTGACCTTTAAGTGTATGTGTGTGTAAAACCAGGAAGTTTGGAGATAAAAAGAAGGAAGCATCACCTGTCTTTCCTGCCAGCTCCTGTAAGGAACGAATGTGGCAGAAGTTGACCTGTCTAATCTAACAAGACCAGGAGTTTGTATGTGAATAACTAGTGCCAGCTAAAGAGAGGTATACCATGATGCATACCCTGAAGTGCTTAATTTCATAGAACTTATCAAGAGTCCTGGAGGTTGGGTGGTGGCCCTTTCTCACCAGAGTCCCCCATTTGACCTCCAGTGTAGGTGACTGTGTTGTTTGTCTCCAGGACCCAGCTGGGCTCCTCAAGTGAAGTGACAGCGTAGAGCCTCACTCTGGGGCCTGTGCCTCCCTAGCTCATCAGGAGGGTGCTGTCTTTCCACCTCTCGGGTGAACTTGTTCTCATTAATTTTGTGGCTCGTTTTGAGGTTTCTGTAGCATTCAGCTGCATTTTTATAGAAACAACCATTTTCACTTCCTTTTCATTGGTTTACAAATTTAACTAAATTACACAATTACCATTGCAAGTCAGACAGCCATGAACAAGTTTGGACCAGACAAAACTAGCTCGTGGTTAGCAGCTAACATTGGGTCAGTGTGCAGCAAGGCACAGGCCAAGTGCACAGCGGGCTGTGAACCTCACATGGTGTGTGTCGTCAGCCACAGCAGAGCAGGCGAAGGTGATAGCATTGGTTAGGAACCTGTTGGCATTTTTGTGTTTATTTCATAATAATATTTTGGATCCAAATGTACTCACTTTGTCATTTTTCTTTTTAACTTTTCAACTTTAGCAAGCTGAACTACTAGGAAGAGAAGACCAGCAACGACTACATCGAAACAGAAAACTGGTCCTCATGGTTGATTTGGACCAGACACTGATCCACACAACCGAGCAGCACTGTCCCCAGATGTCAAACAAAGTAAGTGATGCCAGCCATTGCCAGGATGTCTCTTCAGACTATAGATCCCATGATTCCATTCAAAAGGGTATTATCTTGTTTTTAAAATAATTTTCCATGGGCCAGTTGGGTTTGAGGAAAAGACTACTAGTCAGTCATATCCACTGCTCTAAGCTGTTCGAGGTAGCACTGTAAATACCTCTTTGTGTGATGCCTCCACTCATTGGTACCAGTCAGAGGTATGAGGAGCTGGAGACCTGCAAGGACAGTGGCCCTGAAACATGAGCATCTGGTGCTGGAGCAGTGGTCTTGGGAGGATGCTTTGTGTCCATGAGCCTGGATCATGGATCCAAACGATGCCTGGATCTGTGTCCATGAGATGCTAGGCCAGAGATGAAGGCAGAGGTACCATGTAGAAACTGAATTCTCCTGGGACCGGGAAGGGGCTGAGGGCAGAACCCTATTCAAGTGCAGGTAAACTTTTCCATAGCCACTTCGTTGGAATGAAATAAGAAGTTGAGCTGAGGAGCAAAAGGATTTTAGCGCTCACTGAGGCCTGTGCCACAGAGGGCAGTGTTAATACCATGTTTTAAAAATGTTGGCAATCAGCCAGGTGTGGTGATTCACACTTACAGTCCACCTACTCAGGAGGTGGAGGTTGGGAGGATTGTAGTTCATTGCCAACACAGGCATAAGTTAGCCAGACCCCATCTTAACAGAATAAGCCAGGCATGATGGTATATGTCTATAATGTCAGCTGTTAAGGAAGTTTAAGGAGGATTGATGTCCAAGGCCAGCTGCAGGCAAAAGCAGAGACCCTATCTGAAAAATAACTGAAGCAGAAAGGAAACAGGTTGGGGGTATGGCTCAAGTGGCACAGCATCTGCCTAACAAGCATAAAGCCCTGAGTTCAAACCTCAGTACCACCAAAAAAACAGAGTTCAAAGGTCTTAATACATCATGTAGGTGTCTTCTGACAGAGGAGGACTGAGCCCCCTGTAGTACGTCTAGAGTCAAGAAGATACTGGAGGGGCTGGCAGAGTGGCTCAAGCAATAAGAATGCCTGTCTAGCAAGTGTGATTTCAAATCCCGGTGCCATCAAAAAAAAAAGATGATGATACTGGAAGCAGAGCCACAGAGCTCAGAGGAGAGGCCCCTGCAGAGCCAGGGTTCCTCACCTGGCTAAACCGCCAAGGCTGTGACATGGACATGGGGGAGGTCTGGTGAAAACACCTTAATGACAACTATGTAGAATTGAAGTTTTGTTAAGACTGGCCTAATAAGTACATCAGGAGATATTTTAACTTATAGTGTCCATCTGGAGGTTGAGTGTGAGTTTCTTTATGACACTAATCAGTCTCCACAATAGGGCTTGTATTTTTAGTTATAGTGATTATCTGTCACATGAAGCAATGTGGTGTGTGTGTGTGTAAGTGATTAAGTTTTCAAGGGCACAGGACTTTAGGAAGATGCCTTCCACACATACCTCTCTGCCTGTGTTGCTGTGTTGATTGGGCATTTGAAGTAGGGCATTTTTAGTCTAATGAGACAGTTTGACCTAGCTCTCACTTGTGGGATATCTAGCAGATAGATCATAGTGTCCTCATGTCTATGTGGGATGGCTTAGGCATGAGCAGTGCTCTGCTAATAAGTGCCACGAGGTGCCCTCAACTTTATATCTAGGGACCCCTTATAGCCTGTGCCTGCCACCCATGCTTGTAATCCATGTCCCCTGCTGAGACTTTGATTATAGGACTGGGCAGCCTGACACTTGGACACCAACTGGCCGGATAGAAAAGGGACATTTAATTCCTCACTATGGAGAACCTGGCCTGTATTGTTCAGGAAGTTTATAGTACAGCTGTTGGACTTGCTGCTGTTGAGAAGGGTGAAAGCTGTTACTAAAATTTCACACTCCTTACATCTTCTGGCAGAACAACTTCACCATCAGCAGTATGATTAATTAGAGCTAGTGTAAATTTATCTAGGCTTAAGAAGTTTACCTTTTTTAGTTGTTAAAAGTAAATATTTTTACTGAGAAAATTAGTATAAACAGGATTTGAAAGATTGAAGTTTACCTTCCTAAGAAAAGCAGACTTGTTTGCATTAATCATGTGAGCAAGTTGGTACCAATTTCATCTGTCTGCAGAGGTAATTTATAACACTGTCTCAGCTTTCGTGTAAACCAGTGAAGCTGTGTCTTAAAGCTGTCCATGGTTTGGTTTGTCCGCATCAGCAGACCTTGTGCAGGGTCTACTCTAAGCAGTTGCTGTGTCTCTGCTATGTGACACATATCAGTGTGTGAAGAAGCAAAAGTGCATGGTTTTGTCCATCCTGGGTGGGAGGCCTGGCACTGTCACTGTGATCTTTGTAGTGAGGCTCAAAGTGACTGGAGGAGTCATTTGCATTTCTCATCAGAGGTCCTAAAAATTGTTACCACAGGTGGTTATCAGGAGTAGTTAGCATGGCTATCAGGGTAGTTATGGTAGTTTTCAGGGGTAGGCATTGTAAATAGTTACAAGTAGTTATAGTTGTTGGTAGTTATCAGGGTGGTTGTTATAAAGGTTGTTGTAGGTAGGCTTAGTAGGTATTGTAGGCAGTTACAGTTATAGGCAGTTATCATAGGCTGCTATCATTACAGTGGGTAGTTAGCCTAGTTAGTTAGGTAGCAGTGACAGTGGTGTCAGTCATTGGGACGTTCCCACAGCTCATTGTGGAGTATGCCATGACATGTGAGCGTCACATGCCTGGACCTCCTCCCACCCCCATCTCCCCACCCCCGGTTCTGAGCACCCTCTGTTTGTCTCCAGACCCTGCTCTGGCATGGCCTCACTTGGTGCTGCCTAGACAGCTCTATTCAGGGCTTTCTTTTCTCACTCTTGCACTTTTGCAGGGCATCTTCCACTTCCAGCTGGGTCGGGGTGAGCCGATGCTGCACACCCGCCTGAGGCCTCACTGCAAGGACTTCCTGGAGAAGATTGCCAAGCTGTATGAGCTGCATGTCTTCACTTTTGGCAGCCGACTCTATGCACACACCATCGCAGGTCAGTCAACCGTGATGTGTGGACGGTAACTGTCTTAGTATGTGGACAGTAAGTTGTTTCCTATTTTCGGGTGTTTCTTAAAAATGAGGAAGGAATAATACAGAATCTCAGTCTTCAGACTGGTAGTTGGCAGGGATTCACCAGGTGAGAAATTCTGCGGATGCACCATCTGGGCAGGTTGCCACATGCTGTATGGGGCAGTTTAGAAGTTTGTTTCTATGTTTTCACACACCTGTGAAGTACTTTCACAGGAGTGAACATACTTTTAAAAAAAATTTTCTTACTAACTAGTTCAAAATGGCTTTGGAGTTATCTGCATAGTTTGCTCTGCTGACGTCAGTGACCTCTGGCCTTTGCTTCTGTTGTCTTGGCATGGTTGTGAGCTGACATGTTGGCCATCGCCTCCTGCACTCTTAGGGATCCCTATGCTAGCTGCAGTGCCCACTGCACAGTGGCAGCACTGGCTGGGGACAGAGGGCAGGGGACAGAAGTTACCTGGTCACTGTGGGTGAGCACAGTGCATCATAGGAAGGTACAGCCCCTCAGGGGACAATTGCAGAGCTTGTTCAATTGAGTGCTTTAAAATTCAAAGCTCCTAACAGCTTGGTCTTAGTCTTTCACTGTGGATGGAGCCAACAATTTAAATCTCCATTTAATGAAGTACCAGTACAGGAATGTTTTTAATAGACTTTGTCTCTTAGAGCAGCTTTAGGTTCTGTAAAATTGAGCCAAAAGTACAGAGCTTTCCCATGTGTGCCTGCCTGTGCCCATGCACTGCCTCCCCTGGTGCCCTCACCCCCATCAGAGTGGTGTTTTTGTAACTATGTGACCTGCATAAGTACAGCATTAATCACGACCACTAAGAGCATATTAAGGTTAACTCGCCTCGTAACTAAAACTCAGCTTCTCGTGCCTCTAATATTGTGGCTACTGAATAGCTTCCAGAGACAGATGATTTGAAGACTCAAGTAATGTTGTGATGGGATGATAAGCTGGCATGCTCAGACTGGTAAATAAACCCCCTGCCATGGTCTGAATGCATACAGTAACCCCTAATCAGCAAGGCAAGGATGTTAGATAGTGACCCTCCGGGTTATTAGGTCACCAGGGCTGTCTTTGGGAATGAGATGAGTGTTGTTAGGAAGGAGACCTCGGGGAGCTGGCTCCATCCTTTCTATCCTGTGGAGATGCAGTAAGAAGGAACTGTCTACAAGGGAGCGCTGCCCCACCCCTCAGTCACAAAGTCTGCTGGTGCCTTGAACTTAGACTTAAAGCCTCCAGAACTGCATGATAGAAATTTCTGTCAGTTGTAAATTACCCAGTCTGAGGTATTTTGTTAATGTAACCCAGACTGAGATACCCTGTGTGAAGTAGATCCACGAATCTGCTGATGGGAGTCTCACACCCCAGCTGTGGTGGTGTTGGAACCTTACTTTCTGGGTGGTGACTATGGAGTCACAGGATGACAGTGGCAAAGGGCAAAACTTCAGGTCAATGACCAGGAGAGGCATCTGCAGCGTGAGATGAAGAAAACTGTTAGGGAGCCCTTTGGTGCTTTTGTTTTTAAGTTAAAAATGTCATGGAAAGGAGATAAATTGGCAAAATATTCCTGTCTCTATGTCCACATGTGCTCCCTCTTCTCTTCCTTTGTTTTTCTGAATAGTCTTTAGTAGTTTATCTTACAGTATACACACATTCATGTTGTTCTTTTCACACAAAATTATATCACTAACGATATAATTGACCTCCAGTCCGTTTTGCTCTGGTTACTTTGGAGATGGGGGTCTCAGATCTCCTTATTAAAGTTCTAGCTATTCAGGACTATCTCTGGACATGTCCCAGTCACCCTCCTCTGGTGGGCATTGCATTTTCCATCTGAGGATGCAGATCACAGCAAGGAGGAGCACATGTGAGGCTCAGGGTAACGTTTGGTTCTGGGCAAGAGAAGGTTTGCTTAAGCCAAGCCAAATCCTCATGTTTCAGGTGGGTCACACCCTGGCGAGTCCCTCTGCCCCACAGGCGTGTGACACTGCATCTGATCCATGTCAACACTGCCCAGTGGTGAAAGAGAAGAAGGAAGAGCATGGGCTTCTTCTTTAGCTCAGAAGTGGGCTCTGCAGGTGTCTGCCTGATGCTTCTACATGATGGTGCGCACTGCAGGAGCCACAGACAGTGCTGGGGTGGCAGGAGGCGAGGCCTGCTGGGCATGCTAACACTAAGCAGTCCTGGGTGCCCACTCCATTTCCATTTCCACATCTGCTTCCATCTTGGAATTCCAGTGTCCAACATATCCAGAAATGTTGACAAAATCAGACAGTGACATTGTAGGAAAACTGTAGCAGTATTCCTGTGGATATAGGTGCAAAGTCCTCCCCAGAATTCTGAACCCTGGAGCCAGCAATAGCTAAGTAGGACTGTGGATTTGGTCACCTAGCATGGCTTTCAAGATGGATGGCATCGCACACACCCACAGTTCCCAGAGCGGGTAGCACCCAGCACTGGTGGTGTGCGTAGGCGTGGGGGGTGCTCAAGTGAAACCAGTGTGAGAAAAGTGGGCTTCAGTAGAGCGTGGCAAAACCCATGTCAAGTTCTAAGGTGGGTATCCATCTTCTATTCAGGGTACCCTGAGAGAGACAGTGGAATGAGGTACTTTAGTCAGCTTCCCGTGGCTATTGACAAATAGCTTTTAAGGAGGAAAGATTCTGGCTTATGGTTACAGAGTTTTCAGTCCATGGCCATTGACTGTTGCTTTGGGCTTGTGGCAGGAGTGGAAGATGAAGGAAAATTGCTCACCTTGTGGCCCTAGTACCCCATTCAAGCGCACCCCCAATTGCCTCACTTCCTCCAGTAGGCCCCACCTTCTAAAGATTACATCACTTCCCATTACTACTACAGGCTGGTTGGTGGCTGTGGCTAAGTCTTCAGCACATACATTGGGGTATGTGTAACAAGATTGAATCCAAAAGTGTCAGTCTTCAGAAAACACAGGTCATGTTGTCATTTGGTTTAAAAATACTTCCAAGACATCTGGTTTGCCCTATGGTTTCACCCATAGCTGAAGTGAAGCACAGGGAAGCTGCCTGCAGCTCTGCCTCTGAACTGCCATTCTCTCTTGTCCCAGTGGTCTGGTCCTGTGTCCATTGTGTTATAAGCTACAAGCTTATATCCCGGTGAAAATATATGTATGTGTGTGTATATATGTACGTGTATATGTATGTGTATATATGTATATGTGTGTATACACACACACACACCCATAAGCTATAAGCTTCTTGAGAGAGTAGTACATGCGCCATTCCTTTCCTTATCTTCTACAAAACTCCAGGTAGCATTAAATGCAGCATGTCAGATGAACAAGTATCCCTCAGCACATTGTCTTGTGCCCCAAGACATTGTGTCTTGTCCCTGTCTCCCTGTGTATTTGATTGCTGCTGTTGACCTCTGTGATGTGTGGAGGAAGCCTTTCTTTTTGAGACTTCATGATTATAGTAGGTTTCCCTCCAAATGTATTGAACGACTGGTGAAATTAAAGGTCATTTGGTGTTGAACTTGGCTCCAATATATTTTACCAGTTAAATAAATTACCTAAAAGCCTGTTTTGTTTTTGTTTGTTATCCCAACTTCTATAAACTGAAATACTTTTGCTATTTATTCTATAGCTCTTAGAATTTAGAAATAACTTATTTTTCATATTCTTTATTACAAATTGTGGGCACTTTTAATTAATTGATTAATGTAAATTTATAACTTTGCAACTTTTGTTAAGTTAATTCAGTAGACTTTGTGTCAGATGTGTTAAATTTATAGATCAAGAGACCTCGAACGAAAGTAAGCCCAAGAAATTGCTGTCCAAGTCATTGGTTACCATAGTCATTTTCAAAGTGTAAAGTGTATTTTTGCAGATAGCACTGTATTATTACCTTTAAGGAGTTCTAGCAGATATGCTTATTATCATTGAGTGCCTCAAGCTCTTTTGAGAATTAGTTTTCAAATATTTTTAAAAATTAGACTTGCAGATGTCTTGCAAACAAAAATAAATTACTATAAATAAATGTCCAATATAGAATAGGCAGATACTTTGATACAAAACTACATTCTCTACTAGATAATTAGTACTGTGATACAACATACATTATTATTCTCAATCAACTCTATTAGGCAAGTTTCCATGATGCTGCCTAAATGTATAGTACTAAAATGTGTATAATAGTAGGAAGCAATTGGACTGACTGACTTCTTCATCGTATGTGAGTTAGCACAGTAATACCCCCTTTATTTGCAGTTTTACCTTCCATGGGAAGGGGGACTATTTACAGACTCCTGTGGTTTTGATTCCTGTGGCTAACCATGGTCTGAAAATAATAAATTGGAAATTCCAGAAATCAGCAATTCATAAGTTTCAAATTGTGTGCCATTCTGAGTGGCATGATGAAGGAATCATCCTATCATCTACTGTCCATGCCATACACAATGCTCTCCTGGTAGTCCCTTAGCTCCTGTCTCAGTTGTCATGTTGTCAAAGTGCTTGTGTTTAAGTAACCACAGTTTTACCTAGTAACGGCACCAAAGCCCAAGAGTAGTGATGCTGGAAATTCAGAGATACCAAAGAGAAGCCAAAAATGTTTCTTTTAATACGGTTTCTCATCTCAGGAGGAAGGGTGAGTGGAGTACATTCACATAACCTTTGTTACAGTATGTTGTTAGAATTATTTTTGATTGGTAACTCTTACAGTGCTTAATTTATAAGCTACTTTATCATAGGTATGTTGCAGAATACACATAGGGTTTGGTGCTTTCCAAGGTTTCAGGCATCCACTTGGGGCCGTGGAACATACCTGCAGATAAGGGGGACAGCTGCAGAGCTCTGATGTACTTTGAGATAGCAGCCTTCATGGATAGCATTTTCTGCATTAACTTATAAAATGTCCTCAATTACATTTAAGTGTGGCACATTACCCTGCCTAGTGTTAGGGAAGATGATAGTGGGTGGGTGATGCAAAATAATTAAGTCGGACACTTGGACAACATGAAGTACAGAACCACAGCTGCTATTTCCTGAGGTACAGTGATAATGTATGAGAAGCACCTTATAGCTGCATCTTAGCCATTTAGCTTGGACGGAGAATGCCATAGCACATTACAAATGGTTTGAAATTAATGGCATCATAGACACAAGTGTGATTCCTTTTTGAGAAATTCCAGTCTGTGTCAAAGAAAAGGTGCTCCAGGTGACTGGCCTCTTGTCCAGAATGTGCAGTGCGGGCACAGTGCTGGGTCTGCTCCTGTCAGGAGGACTAGCAGCAACGCGGTGTCACAGTGTGACCTTTGTTCTCTTTTGTTTGCACAGGCTTTTTAGACCCCGAGAAGAAGCTTTTTTCTCATCGAATATTGTCACGGGATGAATGTATTGACCCATTTTCTAAAACAGGAAACCTTAGGTATGTACCTGATTGAGTTTATCACTGAGACAGCTCACTATTCAGCCTCTACTTTAAAACTTGAATTTTGAGAATTGGAGTGTTAATTCTATATTTAACATTTTCCATGAAATTTCAGTGTTAACCTCAGAGTACTGAGAAAGCTTGTTTCTGACCCGGACTCCCTCCTCCTCACGTGTGGGTCCTGCTCCAGTTGCTTGAGCCCTGAGGCACCCAGTCCCAATCTGCTCTCCACACCCCATCTGCTCTCCACACCCAGTCTCTGCCTCTATGGCAGGTGGCATAAGAACCCTCTTGCCCTGCACTCTGTGAGCCTGCACACAGGCTTAATGTTAGCCATTTCCCTTCCGTGTCTCACTTCACCAGCTAGCCAAGATAGTGAGGCCTTAGATCTCAGGGCTGAGAGGCAGGAAACATAAGGGAATCCCCAACAGCACCCCAGTTCTAAAGCTTTTTTGTTTTTACTCTGAATGTCTGTGGAGTAGCTGGGACTCCTGGGGACCTGGAGGCTCAACCTCTGGGGCCACAGCTCGGGGCAGGGAATGCACTAGGGAGCAACAGCGTGACTAGCAACTGTCAGAGCTTCTGTTGTGCCTTGCCCCACAAGCTGCAGTTCTGAGCCAAGGGTGTAGCATGAGGACACCTCATCAGCAATTTAGGGTTATACTTTCTTAGGAGCATGTGTGGTGCTCACCCTAAGTGAGCACCTTGTAGGCTCACCTTGTTGCCTACAGTTCCACCTGTACCTGTTTTTCCTTTACAGCAGCTCTCTACCCTTCCTACTTTGTCTAAGCTTTTGTACAAGACTGGCTCCTCCTCATCCTACCTGAAATTTCTCATTTTCTACCAGAAAGAGCTGTGCCTGCTCTCCTCACACTATATCCAGGGTAGCCTGTTTCATGTGCTGCTTCCCAGCAAGACCTGGACCATTGCAGGTTCACACACGGGATAGCTCAGGCAGGCACCCTACCGATGTTTCTTTTAGATTAGAAGTCCACAGAGACCTGAGACCTGTCTATGTCAGTATTAACTAAGAAGAGAATCTGAAGTATTCATTTCAGAAACAAACCTCTTTTTTTGTTGGTTAGCATCAGAGTAAGATGATTCAGAGAAGTGGGCACTGTGGCAAGCACAGATACAGCCAAAGGTCCTCTCAGTAGGTGCCAGGTAGATGATTGGATCTATTCCCTGGCTTTTGGCTGCCTAGCTGTGTTTGTAAATGAGTTTTACATGAGAACTGGCTTTTCACAGTGTTGAGTTCTAATTTGTGGCTGGCCAAGCCTGAAATATTTACCATCTGGGCCTTTAGGAAAAAAGTTTGCTGATTGTTTTCTTATGATGCTGGGGAGCAAACTCAGGGCCTTACACAGGGGAGGCAAGCACTCTGCCACTGAGCTTCAACTCTAGCTCTTGCTGGCTTTTGTTTTTTTTTAAGGAAAATAGGAAACAATGAGAAAAGAAGTGTCAGTAATTTTAAGGTTTCTTCCTCTGGAAACAAGGAGAGTTTCAATAGGAGCTAAAGAGAATCCCCTGTTGTAGTTGATGTCTTTCAGATAAATCTGCTCTTTGTTGATTACATGTTGATGAGAATCCTGGACTGTTCTGCTTAGTGGATAAAGGATTATTGAAACTCGTAGTTTACTGTTTTATGTAAGTCGCACAATTTTACTTGTAGAAATCTCTTCCCATGTGGAGACTCAATGGTTTGTATTATTGATGATCGAGAAGATGTCTGGAAGTTTGCCCCCAACCTGATAACTGTGAAGAAGTATGTATATTTCCCAGGCACAGGTGATGTGAACGCACCTCCTGGGTCCCGGGAATCTCAGACAAGAAAGAAAGGTGCGTGGCCTTCTTCCCAGTGCTTTAGGAAGAAATAGCATTTCGCTTCGATATTTATCTCTTAATTTCTTCTCTCTGTTTTGAATGCCATAAATTGAAGGTTCACTGTTTTTGTTTGCTTTTTATTGGTATTTCAATTTTAGGGGTTGTCAGGTTTACTAATACTGAAAACGGTATTTTTTAAAATTACACTAAGCATTTTGCCTGTTACGTAAGGTTACAGAATGCTGTTTGAGTGTACTTACACTGCATTTCATCCCAGTTTTTTTAAACAAATGCAACCCTGAGAATTTGTACATTCCTTGGAGGAAGTAAGGTGTGGGATTCAGTGGTTTCCCTTGTCAGGACTGGCCTCAACTGTGGAGACTTGGGCTGTCTGTCACCCATCTGGAACCTTCAGGGAACCATGTCTCTATCAGGCAACCATGAGCCAAAGTCTTTCTTAAGGACATTTAAAAGTTTTAGTTTTAAGTGTTTCTGATGATCTTGACTTCTAAAATATTTTGAGGAATACAGTTACTGCTGTAGTCACTAAAGTTGAGCTTAGAGGTCAAGACCAGGAAAAGGTGGTGGGGACATTGTCTTGTATAAGCCTGGCACGCCACGTCTGCTCAGGTCATTAAAGCAGAGGGGTTCTGTGCGTGGCCACAGACCTGAGGTGTGGCTATTGGTGGCAGCAGCTTCCTAAAGCCTGGCTACAGAGGGGTACTGCTTTAGTTTTGAAAAGTTGCTTAGCATTAAGTAATAGTAACTATTCCTTTTGTGTACGTTATTTAGTCAACCATTCTTCTAAAGGTGCCAACATCTTGGAACAAGGTCCATCTGTGAAAGACTCTGAGGAAGGCAAACCTGTTCCTGGGGCAGAGCAGAGCAACGGCCTTGGGAAGCCCTTCCGGGAGCTCAATGGTGGCGAGGCCGTGCTGGGAGTTTCTCCCAGTAAAGCAGATGAGAGGGACTCCTGCTCCCCCATCCAGGCCTCCTCTGTCAGCAGCTCCAGTAACCAGGAGCCAGCAAATGCTTCAGAGCCCCAGATGTCTTGTGAACAGGCTAGTCGGACCTCACCAGGGGCAAGACCCACTCAGGGCACATCTGGCCCAGACTTGGATTTTGACTTGTCCAGTGACAGCGACAGCAGCGAGTCAGAAAGTCAGAAGTCATCCTCCAGTGCCACCTCTGATGGGGAATGTGAGGAGAAGAGAGGCCAGGAAAAGTCTCCAGCTGCCCAAGATGGAGCTAGAGTCCCACAGCAGGGAGGGCCTCCTGATGCAAGTAGAGGTAGATCTGCAGGAGCGGGACCTCCAGGAGAGTCTGGGCCCAGTGTTCATCTACATGACAAAGGGCCAGATCTGGACATGCAGGAGGAGGGAGAGCGAGATGGTCTCTGTGGCCTGGGCAATGGCTGTGCAGACCGGAAGGAGGCTGAGACAGAGTCCCAGAACAGTGAGCAGTCAGGTGTCACTGCAGGCGAGTCCCTGGACCAGAGCGTAGGGGAG